GAGGTCCATGCTATGCATAATTCCATCCCAGGACCCTGGGATCATGACCTGAGCCAAAGGCAGTCGCTTTACTCACTGAGCCACGCAGGCACCCCTTTACATTATTTTTTAAAAAATATTTTATTTATTTATTCACGAGAGACACAGAGAGAGAGAGGCAGAGACACAGGCAGAGGGAGAAGCAGGCTCCATGCAGGGAGCCTGACGTGGGACTCTATCCGGGGTCTCCAGGATCACACCCTGGGCTGAAGGTGGCGCTAAACTGCTGAGCCACCTGGGCTGCCCCACATTATTTTTTAAAAGTTAAGTTAATAAAGCAGTCCCTAAAAGTGTAAATAAACAAATGAACCCAATTTTATATCAAGTGATTGCATAAACAACACAGCATAACAAAGAATTATTTTGAATGATTTTGTTTTTAAAGCAATGAGATTTTCACAGCTGATCCTGAGGGAGACACTTTTTATTTATTTATTTATTTATTTTTATTTTTTTAGGTTTCATTTTGGAGGGAGTGCTTGGGTGGCTCAATATGTTAAGTGACTGGCTCTTGATTTTGGCATAGGTCATGATCTCAGGGTCCTGGGATGGAGCCCCATGTGGGGCTCCACACTCAGCAGGCAGTCTACTTCCGGATTCTCTCTCTCTCTGCCTCTTCCTTCTCTTTCCCTCTCAAATAATAAATCTTTTTTTTTTTTTTTAAAAAGAGACTTTATTTATTTATTCATGAGAGACACTGAGGCAGAGAAATAGGCAGAGGGAGAAACAGGATCCTTTCGGGAGAGCCTGATGTGGGACTTGATCCCAGAACCCTGGGATCACAGCCTAAGCCAAAGGGAGACGCTCAACCACTGAGCCACCCAGGTATTCCTCCAATAAGTAAATCTTAAAAAAATTTTTTTTAAAGATTTTATTTTTTAAAGTAATCTCTACCCTCAGTGTGGGACTTGAACTTATGACCCCAAGATCAAGAGTTGTGTACTCCACCAACTGAGCTAGCTAGGAGCCCCTTGAATGATTTTAAAATACATCATTTTGACCTTGCACCCTTACTGGGATATCTACTGAGGAAAAAAGAACCATTAAGAAATTAATTAAATTTGGGATCCCTGGGTGGCGCAGCAGTTTAGCACCTGCCTTTGGCCCAGGGCGCGATCCTGGAGACCCGGGATCCAATCCCACATCGGGCTCCCGGTGCATGGAGCCTTCGTCTCCCTCTGCCTGTGTCTCTGCCTCTCTCTCTCTCTGTGATGTGACTATCATAAATAAATAAAAAATAAAAAAAAGAAATTAATTAAATTTAAGAAATCTTAAATGTGTTTAATAGTTTATTAAATAATGTGTTTATTGTTAGTACTGATAGTGGTGTAGCTATTTTAACACATATGTTTACATAGCTAATAAATAATAATGTTAATATTATTAGCCAAATTTTTTTGCATAACAGATATGTTTTAAAATTATATACAATCTTGTAATCTTACTTTTGAATTATAAATATCAGTATGAAGTCATAATTTGTGTTTTTTGCCTGCTTAAGTAGGCTCTACACTGAATATGGGGCTTGAACTCATGACCCTGAAATGAAGAGTGGCATACTTTTTAGACTTTCCAGCCAGGCACCCCCGTAATTCATTTTTTGTTTCAAAAGAAATACATTCTTCTTAGCTCTGTCCACTGCAGAGACCTCCAAGCAAAGACAACTCAGTGAGCAACACTCTTCAAATGACACCCACCACTAAAAGGAACCAGGGCTCTTTGGAGAAAGGCTGACTCTGGGTGTGGGGCAGAAAATATGCAAGAAAAGTCTGACATATCACGCTAGACAGCAAGGGAGCTATGAAATACTATTGGGGTCTTGTCAAATTGACACAGGAGCCACCTGTAAGGGACTGCCACTAGCCAGAGATGGGACGATTTAAGCATCAAAAGTATTAATGACTGCATGGGTTCAAACACACTCAAATACATTTTTAAAAAATCATGAGTTCATAATAAGACTTTTAAAATTCAGTCACTTTGAGAGGTTGCTTGGGCACAATGCTGGTAATGAAGGTGTCAAGGTATCCTGTCCGTCCCCACCCCCCCACCCCCGCCCCCTGCCCGCCAGGTCTCCTCTACAACTAGGACAAGGATGAGAAGTGCTGGGGGTTTGCGGCTCAGCTGAGCAGTGCTCCGGGGCTGTTGGTCCCCCAGCTCTGTGGGGCCCCTCCCGCCTGCCCGCTTCTGAGGTCTAATCATCCCCAACTCTTCCCTTTTCTCCCCCAGCTCTAGGGGAGCTCCCTCTCCCTCTAGTTGTTCTGTGATACCTCCCTGTTCACTGTTCTGCCTTCTTAATTCCTAAAGACCTCGTTTAACATTTCTTTAGATGATATTTTCACCACTGAAGTAGTTGGTATAGTTAGTTTCTGTCTCCTGACTGGGCTCTGGCTAGTATAGGCACCAAATATTTATGTTGAAATTGGTGCTAAGAAAAAAAAAGAAAAAAGAAAAAAAATCAAGACTTCTTGCCTGTCTTGTACTTGATTATATTTCAGGGTAACCAAATAGCTGATAATGAAAAGCTTTTCCTTTTAGAAAAATTTCAGCTAAGACTACGGAACTAATGATCTAATTAGAAAAATCACCATTTCATAATGCCTAGTTAATGAAGGATGTAGGTGAGCATGATCAACAGCTGCTAAAACCATCACATGAAGGTTGATAGGGGACTTTATAACTGGTGCATTTTGCCAACAACTCCTGAACCCATGAGTCAATTGTCACATCATTAAAATCAGAACACTCTGGGGGACGGGGTAACTGGGGGATGGGCATGAGGGAGGACACGTGATGTGATGAGCACTGGGTGTTATATAAGACTGATGAGTCACTGACCTCGACCTCTGAAACCAATAAGACATTATTTGTTAATTCACTGAATTTAAATAAAATTTTAAAATAAAGATATATTAATTTAAAAGCAAAAACAAAACAAAAAGCAGAACACGCCTCCTGAAGTGATGCACAAGCATCGCCTGTGAAGTGTTCTTTCCAAAATAACAGCTTCTAAATGTACCTACCGGTCTACATGAAAACGGGCAGCAGAGCACATTAGACATCACCACGAGGATGCAATCAGCCAAATCATGCGTGGGCAGTCCGCAAGCAAGTGAACTCATTTCACCAAAAATAAAAGTCATGAGAAATGGTGAGAGGGGACTGTGATAGATGAAAGAGAGATAGAGACATCCACAGGAATGAATAATGCAGACAGAACCTGTTTGGACCCTCACACAAACAGGATAGAGAAACATTTTTAAGATTATCAGAGCAATCTGAACACAGACTATAAAATCAGGAAATGTGTTTGAGTATGATACGGGCATGATGGTTATGTTAAGAAAAAAATCCTTCTCTGCTAAAGAAACATATATGTGTGCATATATTATGCATATGATACGTACATTACAATGTGTACAACCAGGAGGATGGAATGAGATCTGGAATTTGCTTTAAGTTCCTCCGACATTGAAAAATAAAGAAAGGGGATCCCTGGGTGGCGCAGCGGTTTAGCGCCTGCCTTTGGCCCAGGGCGCGATCCTGGAGACCCGGGATCGAATCCCACGTCGGGCTCCCGGCGTGGAGCCTGCTTCTCCCTCTGCCTGTGTCTCTGCCTCTCTCTCTCTCTCTCTCTCTCTCTCTGTGACTATAGTAAATAAATAAAAATTTAATAAAAAAAAAAAAAAGAAAAAGAAAGAAAGAAAAGAAAAAACATGGGGACGTATGAGTCTGGGCTCCCAGGATGATGTTTATCGAAGCTGGGTTATGGGTTTCATGGGTTTGCTATTCCATTTCATCTACTTTTGAGGATATTTGAAAATTCCTATTATAAAACTTAAAAAGAAGAGAGCAAAAATATGTTGGCTTAGCAACAGGAAAATGTATGTTCAGCCAAAAGCATGAACAAAAATGTTCAGAACAGCTCTATTTATTACCATCCCAAACTGGAAACAACCCAAATGTCCATTAACAGTGGAATGGGGGCAGCCCGGGTGGCTCAGCGGTTTAGCGCCGCCTTCAGCCTAGGGCGTGATTCTGGAGACCTTGGATCAAGTCCCACGTCAGGCTCCTTGCATGGAGCCTGCTTCTCCCTTTGCCTGTTCTCTGCCTCTCTGTTTCTCTCTGTGTCTCTCATGAATAAATAAATAAAATCTTTAAAAAAAGAAGTAGAACAAATAAATGGTGGATATTCATATAATAGAATTAAAGCCATGGGTGACTCTCATAGACACAGTACACTATAAGCCACATATAAGATTGTACACATTGTTTCCATGACTATAAAGACAGACAAAAGTAATTTACACTGTTAGAAGTAAGTATATTGTTTTGGGGGATAGAGATTGAAATGGAGCAACGAGGAGCAAGTAGGAAGCCGGGGTGGACATGTTTCATTTCTTCATCTGGATGCTGGATACATGAGTATTTGCTCACTTTGTGAAAATATATTGAGCTGTATACTTATTGTTTGTGTACTTTATTGTATGCCTATTCTTCAATAAGAATTTTTATTTTATTTTATTTCTTATATATTCATGAGAGACACACACAGAGAGGCAGACACAGACAGAGGGAGAAACAGGCTCCATGAGGGAGTCCGATGCAGGACTCAATCCGAGGACCAGGACTGCGCCCTGAGCCAAAGACAGAAGTTCAACTGCTGAGCTACCCAGGCGTCCCTTCAGTAAGAAACTTAAAGTGCAGGTGCCTGGGTGGTGCAGTTGGCTGAGCGTCTGACTCTTGATTTCAGCTTGGGCTGTGGTGCTTGCTTCGGCAGCACATATACTAAAATCAGCTTGGGCTGTGATCTCAGGGTGGTAAGATCGAGCCTCACATTAGGCTCCATGCTTGGCGCAGAGTCTAAGATTCTCTCTCTCTTCCTCTCCCTCAGCCCCTTCCCCCTCTAAAAAAAAAAACAAATAAATCTTAAAAAGAAAAAGAAAAAAGAAACTTAAAGTGTTCGCTTCAGCAGGACATGTGCTAAAACTGGAACAATAAAGAAGATTTAGCATGGCTCCTGCACAAGGATGACACAGCACATTGGTGAGTTGTTCCATATTTTTGTAAACAAAAATGCTTAAATAAAACACTCACAGTAAAAAACAAAACAGAACTTTAAAGATACATAGGCTTGAGAAAGAGGACTGGTGCAGGTTCATTACCACAGATCCAGGAGAAATAAAAATAATCACTAGAGAATGTCCTGAGAAAAAGTACAACAACCAGCTGGATAATTCAGAGGGAATGAATAACTCCCTATGATAATATAAAATACCAAGATTGACCTGGACACAATTGGAGTTCCTGAATAATTACCAAATAAGAGTTTGGAAAGATGATTAAAGATGGTGAAGGCAAAAAAATATAAGTCCCCTTATTATGAAGGAGCAAAAATTATCAGAAACATTGGCTCCTTTTATAAGATTGTAAATTGCTTCATTAAAAAAATGTTAAGCTAAAACAAGTTCCTATTGCTCATTGTATTATTCTATAAGCTGGTTCTTACATTTCAGGGAGTTTGTCTTATGAAATAAATACTAAGTTCATGTTAAGATATGTCAAGCATTGTTTTGAATAATTACGTAAGTCACCAAATATCCAGCGTGAGAATGGAGGAAAGTCCATAAACTCTTCTGTTCACTTGAAGTGTAAGGAACTAGTAAGAAGCTCGCTTTTCTTCTTTCTATCTTTAAGGGTCTGTCATTTTCCAGGCTTGTAACCTGTGTCTTCCTGCTACAGTTGCTTCAAACAGAGATTTCCAGTGGGGTTCTAGCACTATATGGTGAATTTTTCAAACTTGCCCTACAGGTATGAAATCCTTCTCTTTTTTTTTAAGATTTTATTTATTTATTCATGAGAGACACACAGAGAGAGAGGCAGAGACACTGGCAGAGGGAGAAGCAGGCTCCCTGTGGGGAGCCCGATGTGGGACTCGATCCCAGGACCCCAAGATCACGACTTGAGCCAAAGGCAGATGCTCAACCACTGAGACACGAGGTGCCCTAAAACCTTTATAACACATTATTACTACCCCTGTTCTTAAGGGGTTGTGTTCTCCAGTACTTTGACTTTTTTTTTTTTTTTTTTTTTTAGTACTTTGACTTTTTAAGAGCCGCCTCCCCCCCGCCTTACCCAAATTTGACATCACCACTATTCCTTCTTGCCTCTCAGGTCTCTTCTCTAGAGTCATTTTCCTTCTTTCTGAAGTTCACCTTCTGGAAATTCCTTCTGTATGTTGGTGATAAACTCCTATATTCTTTTGGTCTGCATGCCCTCGCCTTGGTATAGGATAGGATGGCCATCCTTGCTCACCGGGCTGGGGTGAGTCCAAGTTTCCATGGCCATTTCTCTGAAGCTCCAACACCTTGGGAAGACAGAATCAGCCCTGCTCAGGGGCTGCACTAGGGCTAGGCTGGGCCACAGCCCTTTCTGCCACACCTGTCTCCCTTTTCCAGACCTGATGGATCAGATCCTGCCATCTCAAGAGATTCTGCACATTGGGGGGGCCTGGGTGGCTCAGTTGGTTAAGTGTCTCACTTCGCCTCAGGTCATGATCTCAGGGTCCTGGGATTGAGCCCCGCGTGGGGGCTCCACATTCAACATGTAATCTTCTTGAGATTCTCTTTCCCTCTCCTTCTGCCCCTTCTGCTTGTGCTCTCCCTCCCTAAAATAAATAAAATGAATCTTTTATTATTATTATTTTAAAATATTTTATTTATTTATTCATGAGAGACACAGAAAGAGAGGAAGAGACACAGGCAGAGGGAGAAGCAGGCTCCATGCAGGGAACCTGATGTGGGACTCGATCCTGGGACTCCGGGATCATGCCCTGAGCCAAAGGCAGACGCTTAACTGCTGAGCCACCCAGGTGTCCCTAAAATGAATCTTTTAAAAGAAAGAGAGAGAGGTTCTCATCAAAATCCCTTAGCCTGGCATTACAAGCCCTGTACCTTCCAAACTTCACATACCCCTGCCCAGTGTGGGTGCACCACCTTACCCACCCTTCCTCAGACCCCTGGCCTTTCCTGTCTCTGTCCTTCTGTTCTGGGAGACACTAAGAGAAGTAAAATTGTTCACTGTGCCACTACATGCTCTGCCCTAGGGAATGAGGAGGGTTGGGGTGGGGTTTCCCAAAAGTGTTTGGACAGAAAGAACCAAGAAAGCAGAGGCCCTCCCTGCAAAAGCCGCTCTCATATGTATGGCCACAGATGGTTTGGTAAGGCAGACCTTGATTACCAAAATGCTAAATTATGGAAGAGGAAAGCACTCAGAGGCTTTGGAGACAAGCCAAGGGAGGTGAGGCAAGGGAAGTAAGAGTCTGAAAGCTTCAGCAATATCTAGAGGGGAACACTTGAGAGAGCGGGCTGAGGCCTCTGGGGAAGACATCCCTTTAGAGTTCTGAGGTCTTGTCCCCTCCCCCTTGTTCCATCCAGTCCTGTATGGCCGCCTGACCATACCATTTTCTGAAACTGGGTTTCTAGGGGGACAGGTACTGCTGAATCCCCAGCACCCTGACTGGGGACTTGAAAACTGAAAGATAAGGGCAGCTCCCACCTCTTTCCATTTTGTATCTTTCAGAGGGGAGGGGACTGCTAGTGCCTACGTGAGTGACTTCCGTGGGGTGCTGCTGCCCTTCTGGGATTATAGTCAGTCTGAAGGGACGGTTTGGGTGCTACAGAGCTGGGGCAGGTGCTGCCTCGCCAGTTGGACGTGCCAATGGTGTCCTCTGCTGGTTGCTTCTAGAAATCCTGACAGAATGTGGAGCCAGCAGCCTCCTGTGGGCCCTGGGCCCAGGTCCCAGGATTGCAACCATGGCTCAAATCAGGAGGAGGAAAAGGGAGTGCTGTTCGCATTTCAGAATGAATGAGAACAGAGTGACACCTGGGACCATCTCCCTGTTGAACAACTGGTACTGGTTAGGAACAAAGGTTTCTTTCTGGTGCTTGGCACCTCACTCTGAGTGACCAAGGTTTACATACCAGACACATTTTAGCAGCAGCAGACTCTGTCATAACAACTGGAAAAAACTGTCGCCACTATTGGCACTCAAGAGACAGCCTAGGACATCACTAGTGCTTCGTTCCTCTGGGTAACCAGGCAAGGTATGCAAAGTGCCTTAATGCCTTCCGTTGGGATGGTGGCGTCTCTTGCAGTGTGTCATCCATGCATCACACTGGAGCACAGTGTGAGCTACGGCTGCTGTCCTGCCTTTCCACTACCTTGATCATACGGACCCTCGTTCCTACTAAGTAAACTGCCCAGCTAGGCTTGCATGCTCCTCAGATACGGGGAGGAAGAGATGGTTGGGCTTTGAGTGAAGGCAAAATCTAGGGTCATGCAAGCCTGGTAACTTCCCTGGGGGACATCTGGGCAACTATTAAGGATAAATTGCTGGCAAAGTAACAAGTCCTATACCAGTTTAGCTTCTTTGTATATTGAAGGCAGCAGACTCTACATTTAAGAATTTTACTAAAACCTTCTAGTAAAGGGGCCAGCAGACAAGAGACCATGCCTGAAGGGCCTCTGCAGCAAGGAGCTCTGGAAGATGGGGAAGCTGTGAACCAAGTACTGCCACTGAGCCTTGTCTCCTTCAGACCCCATGGAACTAGTCTCTGCTTTGGAAATTTTATTCCGCCAGTACTCAGGGGTTTGCCTTCATGGTCTTCTTCCTGTAGCTAAGAACCCTGCACATACCCCTTGGCACAAAATCTATGCATGCTGGCCAGATTTCCATGGCTGCCATCTGCAACTCTTAGTCTGAGGACTTTGCTTTGTCACCATGGCCTGGTCTACCCATGCATGGGCAAGCTGAAAGCTAATGCCCCCAGGAGCAGCCGTCCAACCATGATTAGTGTGCATTGATGGGAAAATACCCTCGCTGCCTTGTGCCTCGGGGCTATTGCTGAAGTGTTAGCCACTGGCTTCCAGAGTCCTCTATGAAGGACATTTAGTATGGTCAGCTGCAGTTTTAGCCTGCTAGAAAAGCCAGCCTGAGTGGAAGTAACGAACATAACAGATGGGATGTCCGACAGAAGGGACACATTTCAGGCATAAAACAGAGAAATCCCAAGACCAGACTAAGAAAGTCTAAGAGGAAGGATTGAAGAAAAAAAATGACTGTACAGGGCAGCCCTGGCGGCTCAGCGGTTTAGCGCCACCTTCAGCCCAGGGCGTGATCCTGGAGACCTGGGATCAAGTCTCTCCCCATTGATTGCCAGGGTTGATTCAGCTGATCTGGTTGGCTAGGTGTGTGTCCCCTTCCTCCCTACTGCTCCACATGTGTCCCTACACTCAGCTGAAGAGGACAACCTTCCCTGATACAGGAGGCTTCCTCTTCGGTCAAGGATATATAGTAGCTGTGCTCCCCTGCTAGAACCTCCAAACAAGCCCTTGAGGTCCATTTGTAGGAGAACATAGGGCAGTAGTCAAGCTTCCAAGACTCTAGACACATCCAAACGAGGCACTGCATGTGGCAGTCTGCCTTTCTTTAAAAAACAAAACAAAACAAAACCTCACATCTATATACACCATCTAGAACTTTAAGAATATCAGAGATAACACGGAGAGGAAAGAGCATATGACATACAAAGCAACGAGAATCAGACCAACATCAGATTTTTCAATAGCAACATTGAAAGCAAGAAGAAAATGGAGTAATATTTTCAAGGTATTAAAGGAAAAGAATTTAGAATCCTGAAATTTATATCCATCCAAACTGTCATCCAAATATGACAGATGGGCCCCACACACCAATTATTACAGTAAGTTAAAGGAGCTAAGTCTTTCAGTTAAAACAAAAAGAGTGATTCTGTTTTTAAGGATCCAGATACATGTCCTAGAGACAGGTAAAGCCTGGGGACATGAACAGATTGAAAGTAACAGGATGGAAGATAACCTCTCAGACAAAAATAAAAATACTAAGCAGAAGAGATCTAAGGGAGTTATACCACCATCAAACTAAGATAAAAAGCATCTGTAGGAATGGAAAGCGTCACCCCATAAAGAAGGGTTCGATTCACAAAGGGAGGTAGCAATTTTAAATACGTTGTACTAAATAACATAA